TTAGTGGTTGGTTATATTGTGAGATGGTCATTTTAAATTTCTAACACTTTTTCACAGGTAATCTTTGGAAACAACACTGTTAGAAAGGCCAACTTTGAACCTCATGTCTAATTCTTTCATTGTTGGTCATATTTCATCTGGAGCAGCCCAGAATCTCGCTCTATATCTTGACACACTTTACCCTGTGTAGGATGGGCAGACTTTAGTCCATGTTGGCCGTGGCCACCTGTCGGCACCACTTTGCTTCAACCCTGAAGCAGAATTAGTCTGAACAAAAGGAAAACACTCACCCTTAAGGCCAATGTCTGTCTGAATGTCAAAATAAATAATTATTAAAAGCTGGTAATCATTACGCTCCACTTCTAGAATTTGCAAGCACAGAGCCAACAAGTTTCTTCTGTAAATGCAAAATTAAACAGGATTTCTTTCTCGCTTTATGTTCCTTTAAGACATTTAATGCAATTTCTTAGGTCTTATGATAACTATTGCAGTTGGTGGAAATGTTTGCTTTCTTGCAGAGAAAAGAAGCCTAATTTCTGTCTGGTAAATATAAAAACACAGGGAGCAGCTTTCAAGGTTAGCTTACCAGAAAGACAAGAAACAGACATTCAAAGTTGTATTTATTAGGTGGAGGCTGTATTTCAGTTGGTAACAGCAACTTTCCCAGTTGGCTGTCTGCAGATACCTACAGTAATGCATGTAATCCAAGTGCACATTGCACAGCTGTAATCACATTTTATCACATTTTGAGTGTATGTGTGTAAAGTCACCCAGTTTTCTTATGTATCCAATTCTGCAGTCTCCAAAAATATTTTGTTACAAAGAAAGAAAAATACAAAACGGTAATGAACCCTGAGATGTTACGTAAATCTCATCCATTGGTGAATAAGTGTAAGTACAACAACAACAACAACACTATAAGGCTATTTGAAGTTAGATTTAGATAATTGTCTTTTGTTTAATGTAACCCAAAGGAAGAATGTAGCGGTCAGCTTCATCCGGACTTCAAAATGAGGCTGAAAGTCATGTTTCTGCACTGATTTTATTGCCAAAACCAGAAAATCTACCCAGACGGTCATAGAAACCACGATTTCAAAACAGTGTTTTCTCTGGAATCTCAAAGCACAGCTGTAATTTTCTAAGTAAGTGTGTTTGTCCATGTGAAATTCAATGTGGGCTTTCTGTGCCAAGCAATATATTCTTAACTGGGGTTCAAAAAGAGCACACCCATCACACATGTGTATGAGTGGGTGTGAGTGTGTGGGTGTGTGGGTCCTAATTCAAACCATCTGTAGATATCGTCCATATCCCCTCTCTTCATGTGTTGGTAAGTAAATATTTAATGCATTACACGTACAGAGTGACCTCAGTCCATTTTATTTAGTCATTTATGAAAGCGGACATGAACTGAAAGAGCTTTTTAAAAAATATAGATAATGTTTAAGTCACAACTATATTAGATTTCACTTTTCTTTCCTTTTCTTGTCCTCTGTGATTAGTTCAGGTGTATCTTGTTTTCCACAGCTGTGTTCACTTTCACGATTGCCTGTTTCCATGCTCAGTGTAGCTTTTGGATTTTAGTTTTTGCTTTATGGATATTTTATGGATATTTTCAACAGCCTAATTAAATGACTCGTTTTTGTTAAATCCTACCTGTGTACAGTATTTGCATCTTGGGTCTTTCCCTCTACTCACTCTACATAATCAGCAGATTGCGATGGAGTTAAGTTAAATTGGTTGGTTTCTTGGCATGTGCCTAGCTTTAAAGTATAGTCCACTAATTTTCAATTGGGTTGAGCTCAAGGCTGAGAAGGAAATCCTAGAAGCTTAATGTTAGCCTGCTTTATTTAATTTTGATGTGTTTCGTGTCCGTCTAGCTGCTGATTTGAGGTGATGTTGAAGAATTTAGAGGTAGTCCTCCTCCTCCTTCATTGTTCTATCCACTTTGTGCAATGTACCAGTACTAGTTT